ACCTCCCCAACAAAAAACTATTTTTTTTTTTTTTTTTTTTTCCCTTTTTTTTTTTTTTTTTTTTTTTTTGGTTGTTACTGGGGACTCGAAACAGCCTCAGTTAAAGATGCCTTAGTTTTCCCTTTGTGACGCTGATTTAGGATACCTGTGGAAACAGGACCCGGTTAGCGCAGGAGTGGGTGGTTCACCCCAGATTAGCCTTCGTTCTGAGAGACAGGTAATGACTCGTTAACAAACCCCACACATATTCTGTCCACATTTCTGAATATTGGTTGCTATTTAAAAAAGTACAATGTTTGATTTGTTGAGTTAATCACAAAACAAAACACATGAATGGAAACACTCATTTACGTGACTATTGCTTATACACCTAAGATGACGAGTTGACTACAAATGGCCACACGTAGTTCCTTAATGAGAGAGAGTGTGTTCTTACTAAGACCATACCAAGGCAAAAAACCATTCAAGACTGAAAGATACTGTGCTTGAATTCACCTTTAGGTTATTGAAAACGATGTATGGGGGGGCTGGGGTATTTAAGGGGCATAATTAAATGAAATCTGGCTTTTTGCCTCTGTTACAATACACACAGTTTATAAATGGAGGAGTCCTGAGGTTGAACACAGCTCTTAGGTAAGCTGCAATGTTTTCTTCTTCTTAAATTGTATACTGAAGAAAATAAATAGTTTTGTGTGCACATCTTCATTACAGCGCACACATCGAGATGTGAAAGGGCTTCTGTAAAAGGAGTATGTAAACTGTTTTAGAGAATTTCTATATGTGATAATTTTATGCAATATGTGTAGTAAATAGAGTATTTCTGTTAAATATTTGTGTAAGAAGCTATATTCTGGTAATAGAGGGAATGTCTAATGTAAATAGCTGAACTGTAGGACTGTAAAAAAATTTAGAAAACAGGTAATTATACAAAACAAAACCTGATTTTCAAATTTGCCTTTATCTTGTCTTTTAAGTCAAGATTTGAAGCTGAAGTTAAAACTCTAGGAATGGATTTTATTTATTTATTTATTTAAAATAAAATAGCTTGTACTTCATTCAAGACTTGCCAACTCTGAAAACATACAAGTAATCTAATTTATTGTATTTTCTCTGCATATTCTGTCTACCTACAGCTCTAGGCATAAGATTAAACACACCTGGTCAAAGCCAGAGGGCTGTGTGTCCTGTTGGAAGCTCTGTGTGTCTGCTTTTGGATGTGTTGTGATAGAGACCTCCTGTAAAGAAGAATGTGAGGGAACAGGGTGGCCAAATCAACAAAAAGCATTTTAAATTGAACAAATATTTCCAGCCAATCTGGTCTATTGTAACTGAGGATTGCAATGTTGAAGATACCTCTAAGGTTAGGGTTTTGCTTGAGGTGGTGCTGTCTTAGTGGGAAAGGTGAAAGCACGGGATTTCATCTTCCGGCGACAGCTAGGGTGCTCCCTTTTCTTACAGCAGGTCAGGTCAGATGCTGCGCTCGCTGCTCAGAATGCAGCATCTTTATGCCTTTCACTAACAACCTTCAGTAGCGTTCAGGTCAGGCCTTTCAAAAATCCCACACTCCCCCTCATTTCACAATAAATGAACCAGGCAAGAGTTTTTCCTCCCTCATTGAAGTTTTTAAGTGAAGTTTTTTTTCCACATACATGGTAAATCTTGATAGAAAGCGTTTAACAGTGTGCACTAACAAACTTGTCCAACATATACATTACATATATATATTTATATATATAGAATGTCCTATATACAAACATATACAACTTTTTAGATCTCTACAGACTACAAGAAAATTGTTAATTATAGTCACAAGTGGTGAACTTAACAGAAATAGTAATTTGTAACTGTCTGGAAATATGTAAAATATGTAAGAGTGGAAAGCAAGATACAGCTGTGACCTGATGAGGAGTACTAGAGAAAAGTTGCTTAGAAGTTTAAGTATTAAAAACTCTAAGTTTGAGGGATGCTAGATTCTCATTTCTCTGTTGCATAAAAATGCAAATGGAAATCTACTGGCAGGTTTTTTCCCCCTGGTGTTAAGCTAGAGACTGTTGGCAGCCGCAGTCAGTCAGGCATTGTGTAAAAGACTTGTTGAAGACGCTTTTCTCTATGGGCGTGCTACAGTGATTAGCAATTAAAAGTTGCTCTTATATTTTTACATTTGATTCTCAAAGGAGCCGAACGGGCCACTCCAGCTCCAGCCTGAAGACACTTCCACTGACATCAAGGTAACGGGGATCTTTCTTTGCAGTATTAGCCACCCACATGGGGTACAGCAGAAAACTTACGCAGGATGGGTAGCTGCTTTGTCATCAACGTGAACCAGCTGCTGCCCGAGCACCACGCGCTACCGCTGACCCGGGCTGCGTTCCTAAAGGCTGACTGCGTTACACCAGTTCGTAGTGCAAACTGGCCCCATAGCCTGTGGGTGCCCAAGTGCCAGACTGGAACTGGTGATGGCCTTTCCATCTGCGCTGGCTCAGCACAGAAGCAAGCGTAGAGCTGGGTACAGAACAAACACCGGTGGGGCGGCCTTGGCTTGGTATTAACGAAGCCTGCATACCTTCTCTGTAAAAGCAGAGACAGCAGGAAGAATAAGGGCTAGAAAGTTGGTTGGAGGGTTTGAATGATCTGCTGCCCCCAAGAATTTTGTTGCCCAGAGACTAGTGGTTTTGGAGTATAGACCAGAGCACGGGCAGAGTGAATGTACATTTAAACAGAAGATAGAATTGTTGTTCTCATGTTCACTTATTTCTCATTCTAGGTGCCCGGTTACAGTGATGCTTCCTCACACACTCGAGTGGCCAGTTCTCTGACCTGGCTGCTGGAAGGGATTCCCCAACCCATATTGGCATCGGAGTGGTGAGTTTGCCGTTTCCTCACGCACACAGACATCCACTCAGGTCACGGACAACTGCAATTCCTTAACTCTCAGCAGAAAACTAGGCATTGCTTGGGCTTTGACCTTTTTCCCAGTAATTTCCTACAGTTCTCACAATTATAGTACAGTTCGTCCTGTGACAGAGAGGAACTTGTGTCTCATTCCCACTTGAGCTAGACCTGTCAGGGCATCATTTTGATTTTGCCCATAGAGAAATGCAAAAATCTTGTAAAGCACAACATTCCTGTTGTGTTACAATGTGGATTTGAAACTTAACACCTCGAATCTGTTCTAACCCTTTAACTTTGCAGCTGGGATGACAGTGAAGCCAGACTTCTGGACTGTACAATTTGCTGGGCTCCATTTTATTGTGAAAAAACGAAGGATATGGGAAAGGCATCTTTGAGAGAGATCATCTGACCACTGGGATGATACAAACACCAGTGAAGTTAAGATCTAGTTAGGAGGGGGAACGCTGCCTGTCCGCATCAGTGTCCGTCAGGACTCCTTGAAGGGACAGAGGATGTCACTCTTCTCGTATAGAAAATTTTTAAATGCTGCTTTTCCACCTTTTCCTCACTTTCCTTTTCTAATTTGAAACTATGTCCAGGCACGTGAAAACAAGCCTTCAGTGCCTTGTTTCCAAGCCAGTCTGGAAAAGTTTCTAACCTAGCAGTTGCCCTGTGGGGCCGTGAGGCTCCTGTAGGCTGCCATGACTGCAGCACACTCACGGACTAGGAATGTATTTGCGTAGACGGGCAATAGTTTCTACTTACTGATCTCTTCTGTAGCTGCAGGTTGGAGAGTTTTCTGCAGAGTTCACTGTAGAAACCAAACAAGCCACTTTGAAGCAGAAGCAATTACTTTTAGCAATGTGAGCAGAAAATCAATTGCCACGCACCCAGGGTGTCATTTTATATATGGGCCAATTCAGCGCTGTATGCTGACAATTGTTTTTCATGCTCCTCCCCTGGCCCATCGTTTGGTCTTGCTGCTGTGATCTCTCTCCCCCAGCTTTAGGGGGGCTGCTGTACAATTTCCTTAGCGTAATTTAAACTGACCGCTTAAGAAAAATCGCTGCTCTCCAAGCTGCTAAGCAGCTTCTAGGAGCAGAACTTGACAGGACTCTCCAACTTGTAGCCCGGCAGTTTCCCATCTTGCCTTTCCTAACTTGAAGAAGCGATTTCCTAAGCTGGTTCTCTGTTCCTGCTACTGAGAAATAAGACAACCAAGTGATACAGACACCATGGGAATGAAAAATGCCACAGCCCCCTTCAAGGACAACTGAGATGAATCCAGAGCACATTTTAAAAAGTACAGATAAGGATGACATGTCATGTGCTCTGAATTGCAAATAAACCATCTATGCTCATGTTTTAATGACATTTCAGATAGTGCCTGTCTGGCTACTTGAAAAATCTGTATATTTTGGGCATAGGATTTTGAAGTTATTTATTCTTCTGGTAGGAGTTAAACAGCACTGATTTCAAGCAAGGTTTTTCAAGGGAAATAAATAGCAGATAAGAAAATGCAGCTCAACTCATTTTTATGTTGAGGACGTAGCAAACATGCTTGAAATGTACTGGCTTTTTGTAATGTCACTTTTAAAAAATAAAGATTTTTGCCATTTAAGTATTTTTTTTTTTCTCAGAATAGAAATAAATCCCATTTTTCTTCGGTCACAACATGCTTTCTTTTTCTTTTTTTTTTTTTTTTTTTTTAAGATGTCAATTAGTCATGCAAAGTTTTATAAGTGCATTAACATTCGAGTTTGTACAGAGTATTTTTAACCAGACGCACTCCCCACAGTTCATACCTACAGCTTCTGAAAAACTACATGCCACAGTGATGGTTGAGTTCCTTTTGGAAAAAAAATCGGCTACTGCATGAGCCAGCTGTTGGCGTAAGACCCGCATGACTCCAGCTTCCATCTCACGGTCCGGAAAATTTCTCCTTGACTCCCACTGTGATGAATCCAATAATAGTAACAGGAAAACATCTTCTAGGAGAAAAAACTGTCTCTGGCCAGTGACTGGTAGATTTGGGAATGAATGTTGCTTCCCTGAACCGTGTTCTTAATAAAGCCACAAGCAGCTTCTTTGAAAGTCTAAAACTGATACCACTTTTTGTCCTTGTATTTCAGCATCACCTACAGAAACGGCAAACAAACAAACAGATATAAAACGCTGCTCTCCATATGAGGTATCACACGTGACCTAGGCCCATTAACTGTCACAAACTTCTTAAGTAAAAAAGGAGGAGCAATGCAGTACTTTACTAACAGTGTCATCAGGTCTTGAGTCCACTGAGACCTTGTATTTCACTTCATAATTGTTACATTAAAAAAAAAAAAATTGTTACCTGCTGTTGCTGTTCATGAAAAGATTTTTCCTGAGAAGCTTTCACTACTTTTCTTCTGCAAAAAGTATAGAGCTATGGGAATAATAACCAGGAACTTGCTTTTTACTCCTATAGAAAGAAGCTTATATATGAAGCATAGTAGATATGCCCTGAATATATCAACTTTTTGCATTTCAGGGCATGTTCTTTCTGCGTATTTTTACCTCACCCTTACAAAAGCCAATAAAAATGTAAAGGTCTTGTCCAGAGATGTGATGCAGGTTAAATGAAAAACATGCATTTTGGGAAGTATTTTTTAATGTTGTTTTATCTTCAAGGGAAATCACTGCAGTTGATTCCCAGCCTTACCAGCGTGGGATGGAAGAGCTTTCCATTTCCAGCTTGAAGCACAGAAGCCGTCTATTCCAGGCAAGCCCTATTCTGTGTAACTGCACCACAGTGTTGTACTAGAAATGTTCCCCTCTTCTTCCCAATAAGATCTGTAAAGGTTCCTGTATACACATCCACCTACCTGTTTTCTGCCCTACTGCATAGATGTGCCGCACTAAGTGGCTTAAAAAAAAAAATCATAATGAATTAGTGAGAAAGGCGAGAGATGAGAAGTGCCATGTTCTAAATTCAGAGGCTAACAATGGATGCTCATTTATGAAAACATGAAAGGAAGGGGTGTGCAATGGAAGTTTGTATTTGGCATTCTCATTGTTTGGGAGCAGGAAAAATGGCATCAGTTAACGTGAGCACACCTAAAATAACATGATGGGGTGAACGGGGAGAACCGTACTCCGCTTTCCCAAAGGGAAGCAAGGGCTCAGTTGCAGGGTTGGTGGTTCCCAGTTCTGGGTGTGTGGTGCCAGGGCCCCTACCTCGTGTGCGTGTTTGGAAAACGCCTCTGCGCTGGCCATCATGCTCGCCGTCTTTTCGTCCAGCTCTCCCAGTTTCTGTCCTCTCTCATCAAGGGCAATGCGTGCACGAGTCAAGTCCCCAATGACTCCTCCTGCGGCTCCTCTCACGCCTTCAATTCCGCCGGATCCAGGGATGTGCTGGGCAAGACTGCGAGAGGCTTTTCCTGCTGTGGCCTCGCCAACTGCAAAGAAGAAATGGACAAACGGACAGAAATAAGTTCCTGGCCGTGGCTCTGTCAGTGCTTTTCGTCCTCGAGCTGCAGCCTTGCAGCAGCGATGCCACTTGATGTGCAGATGGCATGTGTGGAAGATTTTGCTCCGTGCAGCAGCAGCAATCTACCCCAGTCGCTCAAAAGAAGCTGCCAAGGTGAAGGAATCATGGGAAGGCAACTGAGGACCCTCCCCTTTCTTCACAATGTCATCTTTATTTTTTCATCAGTGATCTAAATCTTGCGTACCACTCCATTCCTAGATGACAAGGGTAGGGGACCCCAGGAATTAATTTCTGAAAAAAAAAAAACCAAAAACCCACCCAATAAATTACTTACAAAGCTCCTCTCTGTCAAAAGCTTGTCCGCTTCCTCCAAAAAGTCCTTTGAGAAAGCCTCTGTTTTGGGCTTCTGGTGTTTCCACTGGAGTAAACAAATCCCCAAGCATGTCCTAGCAAAGTCAGACAAAGGTCTATGTGAAAAATTAGCAAGGTGAAAGCAGTTCTAGGTGTTTTCTTTATTCGCATTAATGAGCCAGATGCATTGGAGCTAATCAACTAGTTTTAAAAGAGTCTGTTGTGTGAACAGTAGCGCGTACGTAACATTTGTGTTTCATGACAGGCAAATACTTGAGCTAACTAGATTCACTCATGCTTTCAAAGGGGCTTGGTTTGTCACTGCCCAGTCTTAGCTTCAGTACCACAGAGAAAAAAAATTTGTAAGCAATACAGAGTGAAAATACCAGTGATAAGATCACATTTTTCTTAGAAACAGCAGAGACGACACTGTAATTGAATAAACAATTTGTTGTGAATTACATGTTTGGCTTCAGTGATTATCTAGGCAAGCGGGGCAGTCACTCTCTGTTTTCTCTTTATACCATACCTTGAGTTCAGTGCTTGCTAGCAGTTCAGAGAGTTTGGTGGTTGGTTTTTGCGGTGGGTTTTTTTTTGTTGTTTTTTTGTTTTAGTTTGTTTTGTTTTTTTTAACAAAATCCCATCACCTTCCATACAACCCACCCTGTTACTGTGCATGTTGGCAGTGCCATCAGTAATGCTAAATAAGCATGGCTGTTGAAGGCACTGTCATGGTGCCCAGTCTTGGAGCAGTCAACCCAAGCAAATCTCAGGCTCAGATCTATTTGCAGCAGTAGTAGGAAAAGTGGGCTCTCTGGAACAAACCGATAAAGCGTGCAGCCCCATTAGTGTTTGACACCAGTGAGGCTGTGCGCACCGAGAACAGTTGCTGCCCTGTTGCTCGGCTCTGTGTTTGCTCATCCAAGCCTCAACAGGCAGAGGCAGCTGTTGTGCTGCACAAAGCACGCGGCTCCTGGGAGGCCGAGCGCTAGGGCAGCGCTGTGACTCACACTTACTGCTCCTCTGCGCAGTCACCAGCTCCGGGGAGAAAAATTACTGCAGCCCTTCGAGCCTAACTGGAGGCTCCCATGCAGCCTGGCTTTGTTTTCCTAGGTAGCAGGTGATACTGGGTCATCTGCTTTTTGTCCACACATAATGACCGTGCAAGCCTTTTACTGTCCTCTTTGCATAAAAGCCAAGATAGCAGCAGCCACAGTCCAGCAGTACAGCGAAGCCAGGGCTGCGTTTCCCTTTGGTTGGTTGTCGTATGATGCTATTAAGGTTAATAAAAACCATCTAGCTTGCAACAGCCTCTCACTATATTCTAAGATACATTGATCAAACCTTTTGATCATTTTAAAATTGGTTCCCTGCAAAATAATCTCCTCTCTGACGTGCAAAAGCTTGTGTGCAGTGCTCGCTCCTTACAGTGCTTTTTCAGACCGGAGACAGGCAGTGCTGTGATGCGAGTTGAGCAGCTCAGCACGTTATCCTCTGGGGCATAACGAGTGCTGGCGGGACCATTGCTTTCACATTTCTATCCTAGTTCACTGCTAATTATATAACCTAGAACTTATTCCCCCTCTTTTTTTTCCCCTTTTATTACTCATGTTTCTCCCTGTAACCTCTCACAATTCCTCCTCTTCAGTAAATGACATTTTAATTTGCATTTTCATTGTAAAAAAAAAAACCAAAACCTGAGCCCAAATCCAACATTGTAAAGACCTTTTGCTCAAAATAAATTATTTTAATTAGACCATTTCTATAACTACTGTATTGTAATGTACAATGGGAGATGCTTTCCTCATGTGGAAGAAGGGGAGTACCAATTACTGGAGTAAAAACAATGGTAAATAATTAAAAAAATACATTAAAACAGAGCTTATTTTTTGATACTATCCACACTGGTTCGTCTCATGCTCCCACCTATCTACTGAAAGCTGTAGGTATTAAGATATTTTTAGAGTTAAAATAAAAAAATGATAAAAATACGGGAAGGAATTCATATTTTCACCGAGGCAGTTGCTGTGTGGTTGGACGCATGCTGGTACCAACTGCTGTAGCTGTTATCCATTTGTAGCGTCCCCTTCTTTCCCTTCAGTCATTTTTAACAGTTGGTCTTTCATACGGTAGGACTTTGAGAGCAGCAGGCTGTAAAGAGTCCCATTTGGGCACAAATCTGCCTTTGTACGGAGCCAGCAGAGATCGCAATTGCACGCAGGCGGGCTGTAGGCCCGGGCCCGGCGTTAGGGCACAGGAGCAAGGTGACGGTGTCATGAAAAAGTCCAACCAGCACCAGAGCTGCTGACCTCTCTCTGCTGCTTTGGCATTCAGCCAGGGCAGATGGAGAGGCACACGTCTGTCCCGCTCCCGCAGCACAGACTTTGCTTCAAATACTAAAATCTAGCCATAAACACGTGGCAATTGACATCTGACGAGTCGGGCCGCCCGCCCGCCTGCACAAGCACAAAGGCACCAAAGTAAGGGTTTGAGCCTGGAGGTATTTAAAAGCCGGGTAGACGTGGTGCTCGAGGACATGGTTTAGTGGTGGACTTGGCAGTGCTGGGTTAACGGTTGGACTCGATGACCTTAAGGGTCTTTTCCAACCTTAACAATTCCATGATTCTGTGAGCCCTACCTGCAGATTGTCGCACATCTCCTGGCTGTACGTCAGGCGCTGGATCTCTGTGGGAGAGCTGAGATACAAAGCTTGCCCTTCGTTAGTGAAACAAAAGGTCCGCGCTATCCGCATGTCTGTTACAGGCAAATAGTTGATGTCCAGCAGTGGGCGAAGGCTGGGCAAGCTGAAGAGAAGCAGAAACCTAGGTTAGCCACCGGTTGCCACATGTGGTACGCCTGCTCTGCGGCTGCATTTTAAACCAACATTTAAGTTCATGCTTTTCATAACTGGGATAGTTAAAGTGCAGCTCTAAGCTGAAAAATTCTGCCATAAACACGCTGCCTTCCCGTCATGCTTTGCCTCCCTGCACGGAGAAATTTCAGCTGCCTTGCCGCAACGACCCTTAGGCTTCTGCTGCTGTCGGGATTTGGGATCTGCGTGTGACACAGCATGGCTCGTGCCACGTGGCTGGGCAGTTTGCAGGGTAAGGCCTGCCCCCAGTTACCGCATGGGCAGCTGCGGGAAATGGCACGGCAGGGCCCTGCTTGCACCCTACAGACAAAGGCTCCAGCATCGCCTTTGCTGTCCTCCACCTTCTCCTGGTTCACCGTTTTGGACAGCACTTTCCAAAATTTAAATGGCCTGGCTGGGGAAAAGGGGGTGCAGCAGGGCGAGAGCAGGACTACAGGGCCACTGCAGTCAGCTCAATGGTGGAGATGACACGGAAGGGAAACCAGGTGCTCTGAGCAGAAAATCTTCCGAAACGGCAAGAGTGGGACTTGCTGCTTCACACTGGATAAACAGTACCCTTTCTACGCCTGGCTTTTTCTATACTCCTCTATACCTGACTTACCATAACTGAGCAAAATTATCAGCGTTTTCTTTTATGATAGTTAAAAATCAAGAGCCATCAATTGCCATGGGTGGGGATCACGATGAAATAAAGGAGTTTGCTTTGCTGTGCGGCTGCCTTAACTTCCCATGGTGAGGCAGGCCAAGGAATAGGTACGGCAGTGGGCAAGGCAGGGCATTAAATGCGCCCACCGGGGAGTTAATGCAGAGCATCAGACACTCTGGAGCAAACACAAGCGGAACGTGACGGCACCGTGCCACCTCTTTGCTTAGTTTTGCCACACGATTAGTTAGATAAGTACCTCAGTGTCATGATGTGCCCATTGGCACAAAAGCACGCCAGACAGACGCTGTTACAGAGGGTGACCACATCTGCTCGCAATAAAAAGGACGTTTCGGTGATGTTGTGGACATAAAGACATGTTTGGGAAGGCAATGAGAAGACTTTGGCTTGTTTTTCTGAACAAATGACTGCAAATTGATGATCACCCATATCCTGGGAGGAGGAAGGGGAATGCATGACAAGTTTCCTTTTTCTTGTTTTTTCACCATCGTCAGCACTGTGTGGGTCCCTCCATACTTCGTACGGTGGATGTGTCAACGTCCCCATGCAGTCCAAGCACGCGAAGGTCAGCACGGCTCCTTTCAGTGTCAGAACTGTGCCTGCAAAATATAATTTCCTCTCACTGGCACTGGCACCACAATTAAACTGGTTGTCAGTACTGTGAACGCGTGCAGCATAGCTGACATTCAGCTTTTGTAAACAGAGCAAACGGGCTGATCTAGCAAAGGTGACAGGTCTTCCTTGCTCAGGTCTTCCTTGCTCAGTTCTTCCGGACCACACAAGAAAGTGAACAAACACGCTGCCAGTACTGAAAAGGTCTCAGGCAGCCTATATCAAATAATCTATATAATACATGCTATCGAATACCATAAAGATAGCTTGTTGTTTATCTCTGCATTATACTAGTAAGGTATTTATTCCCCAGGAGTAAAATTTCTCTCCTTAGTTGGGTGACCTTCCAGCATTGTTCTTCTAAGCAAACCAGGGGTGGGAAACCTCTGTTCCTTTGCAACCTCTGACTTTTGTCATTATTTTACTTTAAACATACTAAGCGCACACTGCCTCTCCTTGGACCTGACCTCTCTCAGCCCTCTGTTCTCTCTGCTACACCATCTGTCACTCATTCAGCCAAGGATCTCTCCTGGTACATCAACCTGCCAACATTTTTGTTTCCTTTCCTGAACCACCTTCTGCTTCGCTGCAGCTTTCTGATAGGTAAGACAGCCAAACTGTTCACAGCATCCCAGACAGGACTGCATCAGAGCCGTACACACGACTGTAATTTCACAATATGAAGGAACGCTGCTAATTTCCCTTTCCTCACAGGAAACATGTAACTTTGCCCACGACGCAAGGTAATCTTCAGAAATAACACAACCAAAGTGACTCAGTCCACGAAGCTGCGGGTCTCTCACAAGCATCTTTCTTTACCTCTGTGCCCACTATGTAGTGAGCGACCATGGCTTGATACACGTACTGAGAAATTTCTGCCCAAAAGGCCATATAAAATCATGCCGTTATATTCCCCCCGTTGTACCAAGACAGATAAAAAACAGGAAAAGAGCTGCACTCTTACCACTTGGCGACACCATGACTGGCTCTGACTGCCGTAAATCGTCACTAGCGGGCAGATTAAGGGAGAGGATTAAGACCATACCAAGGCCCGTTCCGACCCAGAGACAGGGGGAGACAGCAGAGTCGTTCTTTCGGGCAAAGGACTCCATGAAGTACAAAGCCGTGATTGCCTCCTTTGAGTCCCTGTCGATACTGGACACGCTGGAGCTTCGGGAACGGCTGAAGGAGTTTTCCCTATTTTCTGCATAGACAAATACAAGCAAACAGGCATAAGTTGGCAATCCTAGAACAGGCACAAGCCTGCAGCAAATACAAACTCCCTGTAGAGTACAGAAAATACAGAGTTTTCATAACCTGAGCAAACATTCTGATACTAGCACGATACCAGCTTGCTGCCAGTGTATAAATAAGTGTGGAAACTGCTGTCAGACCTCATCAGTTAGATCTGCATTAGAAATAGCTGCTTATTATGGAGATTAGCATAGACTAATTAGAATTTACAACAGCCTTAGCTCAAAGGACTTGTTCTAAATAGCATGAAATAATTTTAGACCCATATGTTACCAATGCATTTAAAATTAATCCATGTATCTCATGCTGCAGGACACGAAGGAGACGCCATTACCAGCTTCAGAGCATGTGTCCTTTGCTCTGCTCTTGTTTCATCGCTAGGACATTCTAGCACTGCGTTCACTGCCAGCGTTTATTGTCAAGGTATTAATAATTGCTCTCTGGGGAAAAGACACCCGTTACTAAACTGATCCCAGCATCCAAAACGTCTCAGGGTACAAATCAACTCTGGCTTCCCAGGGAGCGAAGTGAGAAACCTGCTCTGTGCCCTTGGCGACAACGGCATAGTGAGCCGGCAACGTTCATTTTTCCACCTAAACTTTAGCAGGCAACAGCGAGAGCCAGCTGGAGACAGAGCTGTACTGTCCTCACTGCAAATGCACGGGTACGGAGACACTCTCTGAGCTCTTCAGGGAGAAATGGCAACGAACCGGGTCTGACTGCTGTAGGGCTAAGGATCCCTGTCTTGCTTTGCCTGGTGCCAGGCAGCAAGCACGGAGCTGCGCAAGGGAGCTCCTGGCATTGGCAGGAGCTGTCGGTGGCAACACGTGGAGCCTATAAAGCAGACTGAGGCGAGAAAGCTACTGAAGAGTAAAGGAGCCAGAGGGAAGAAGAGAGTAGGGCTGGCTGCTAGCACAGTCTTTGCAAAACAATTTGTGCCAGTGCTGCCATCTACCAACCTGGAGTCAAAGATAGGGCTAGATCATTGGAAACCTCACATGCTCTTCTGCAACAGTAACAACTAGAGGACCAGGAGGTTCTGGAGATGGAGAAATAGTTGAAGCTACTGGACCAGAGATTAAAAGGCTCCCTTCTGAACCTATCATTATGAAGTAGGTCTGTGTCTGGTATGAAATTATTCTTCTTATAGCTCAGAAGAGAGAGCTGTCTCTTCAGAGCCAGTAGAAATGTCTAAAAAGAGGAACGCTTTCTGCCACGGTTGAAGAATAAAATTAGAAAAGGACTTTCTCAAGTACTCCAACTAAAAACTGGGCTAATCCTCATGTTGTGTATATGGTTCCTGCTCTCCAGCAGAAGCAGCAGTTTTGCTGGTGAATCTCTTCCTCAGACCACGTGCTGCAGCGTTGTATTCCCCTACCCAGATGACTCGGTGCAAACTGCTGAAATTGTCGTCTTCACAGCAACTACCTGGGAAAGACTGGAGAGAACCACGGCAAAGCACTACTGGAACCACAGCAAGCGTTACCACATATGCTACCTTAAAAGCTGGCACACAGGGATGGGGGCAGATTCTCCTGCTGCTCTTTCACCCTTGGCTCAGCCTCTGTTTTTTGGGGGCATCCGTAACTTGTCAGACGGGAGCGTCACAGGATAGCCGTCCCTGGCGCTGCAGTCCCACTCTCACGGCCGAGAAACGTACCTCTACTTGACTTCCGAGCACTGCCTTTTCCTCACCCCATTTCACCTTCTTCATGTAGGCACTGTTGTAGCTCTCTAGTTCTGGCTCAGTACTGCTAAATATATCTGCATAAAACTGGGATTGTTTATTCATGTGCAAGCACAGCTTCTAATACCTTGAGAATTAGTGTCTCCCATAACCCCAAGCACTTTGTCCTTCTGCAGTGGACTGGTTGGCCCAGCTCCTTCCTAAGCACAGTGACAGCTGCCGGGTAAAGAAGGGGAAGACAGCAATTTCAAGGCAGAGATCATCAGGGCTCCACATATATATATATATATATTTTTTTTTTTTTTCCCCAAAGGGTATCTAATTTTTAAAAAATGTCATTATGTAATTCATTTTCTCTCTAACAGGTGTATTAATATCACAGTCACATAAAATCCAAATACGGTGGTGCTCAAACCGAGAAAGATGTTGAAAGGACAAATGCAGTTAGTGTAGGCGACATACACGGAACTTAAAATATATGATGTGCCATTTGCATGTGTCATCAAGCTTTCTCCCTCCCTAAATTAACAAGAAATGTTCCTCACTCCTGTGCAGTACAGTTAACTAATACATCTTCACAGAACTGACACTAACAGATATAATCTTTGGGACACTTTTGGGAACATACTGTGCCATTTTCTATTAAATACACTGCTCAAACTGAAATTCTAAAGACCAGCATGACACATGTCAAAATTCGATGTCCTTAAACATATCTGAACAGCAAACCAAAACCTATGAAAGGCTGCAATCACTATGTGACTTTATCGGCTAGTTCCAAAGCAAGGTAGAAATCTCTCCTCTTCCTAGATTTTGGGATAAAATTTAGTTTAGGCCTATTCCCCAGGACTCCTTTCTCAAAGAGATTATACCCCAAATTCTCTATTTAGAAACCACCCCATTGTGTCCTAGAGAAACATAAAAGCACTTTCTTTGGGAAGTTTAAAAAACTCGCCATATCCTTTCCTAGCACGATTGCTATGTTTTAAAATGACGTCCCATCTTCTAAAAGTTGTCCTGTATGAACACTGCCAAGCTGTAGCAATCCTTAACCTGACCGCCATATTCTGGGTTTTCTTTTTTGTTTTCCTTTTCTCACACTGCATGACGGGTGTAGCAAGAAGGTCAGCTACCACATCTTTCTGCATGAGTCTGAACCAGGACCACTTCCAGGTACTCCCTGTCACCTAGGTCAAACAAAGTTTCTTTGGACTCCCTGCTTCAGTAAGGGGACAGGACGTTCATATGTGAAAGGCAGATACTTTTCTGCTCCCCAGTTCTCTTTCCCGCTTCTCCTCCGCTGCAGAACATCCTGCTGTATGACACTTCCTCATACATGTGCTCCTGCCTCTAAATTGCCTCCTGCTTTGAGGGAGCCCAGTATTCCCTTTCCTCTGAGAGGCACGTATCCAACTCCCAGCATCCCTCGGCTCCCACCCAGCCAGTCCTTTTTCCTCCTCTTCCTCTTCCAGACCTGGATTTCTTGGCTCTTCTTTTTTCCAAATAGGTCTCCCGGCTGTTCCTGCAGCTAGCAGCAGCGGAGCTGAGAGCACTGTCAGAGGGGTCCAGTGTTCCCTGAGAGCTAACGAGTGACTACCATTTGGGAGATGCTGCTATTCAGGCTGTTAGACTATGAGCAGCTCTGAGCAAAAGTATTATCTGCACTCAGAGCATTTAAAAAAGCTGCATTCCATGGGTTAAGGCCACACAGTATAAATACCGCTACTCTCCTAAAAGTAGTCCTGCTTTCTTCAAAATGTTTTCATTTAGCCCTGTCCTACGCATGGTTTGGGTTAGCGAGATGCAGGTGGACACTCAGGAACCAACTTCCTCCATAACACTGGACTGATTGTTAAATTCCAGCTATAAGCAGCAGCATACAAATAGAAAAGCAAGTGCAAAACCTCTAACTTGCTGCCCGCCTCACTGACAGAAACACACAGGACACTTCATCTCACATGCTAGGATAAAAACGAAGCCAGTGTTTTTGAGTCTTACCTTTGTTCATCCATGTGTGAGCAGTATAGTGACGCTCGTCGTGTGAGAATGTACTGATTCCATGTAATTGCTGAAGCATTGCCCGTCTGGAAATGTAACCTACTGCCACAAAATCGCATGCATTGCAAAAGGACAAGAACAGTTGAGCCAACCGTCATCATGACATTCGTACGAAAGCAGCCCTGAGCAGTTATTGTCCTAGCTCTTTTCTTGCACGACAGAGCTGTCGGGCTGCAGTGCACTGGTGTCTAGGAGAGATTTAATTTAGGGTTTGGGGGTTTTCTGAGAATTTAAAAAGATAATTTGAGTAAAGGATTCTATGTATTTCAACTGTCACCTTTACAGAGCACTTGCAGAGACTTTTTTTTTTTTTTAACTTCCTTTTGTTGAGTGGAAATAAAACTTTCCCATGGAATTAAAATAAAAAGGAGAGAAGCTACTAATGAAAATATTTATGCCACTGACTTGCGCATCTTCAGGGGAATGTCCTGACTTCTCTGTTCTCAGCTGCAGCAAAGGCTTTGTAAGGGGAACATATCCTCACATCTCTTCCAAGAAATTGTCATTGTGATTATTCTAAAATAATGGATTTAGCACTAACACAGAAGCATAAAGTCCTTTTCTTCTTGAAGTTAGGAATTGTTAAAGTAAAAGTATCACTTGTTATGAGGAACGGAAGAAAACTACCAGTGACCAAGATCAACATTTTCACTGCAAATGTTTATATTCATTACTGGAGAGTTTTGCAATTGGCTGTCAGTGTCTTGGATGCTATTTACAGGTCCTTTCCTGGTTTTAACATACCGAGTAATTGACCTGCTTATAAAACATATACAAAAATCAACCTTTTTTAATATGGAAATTGCATTATTCTAGAAACAAAGTTCAATGGTTTATATTCTCCTCACTTGGAGATTTCTAAAAGTTTTAATCCCAAATATCAGATCTAACAGAAGCTAATGAAACTATTAAAACATTTGCCAGTTTAAGGATCATCATCTTAAAATTTTAAGAGAATCTGTCACTTTTAAAATCATATAGTCGGGAAAGCATGCAAAGCTCTGAATGCCAGCGTAAACATACAGTAAAGGAATTAGGCTTCAAACATGAATTTGCACACAGTAGCATCATAGAGACACAGAGACCGAACCAAATTACTGACGGCAATGCTTCAGCAACACAGAGGAGAAAGGGGCAGGAGGTAACGCTGCAGGGTTTTCACACGTTTAAGAACACTGCACGGTTACTTGGCTAAAAACATCTTC